ATCATCTATGGAAAAATTAAAGCAATTATAAGGAAGCGAAGATACGTTATACAGAACCGGAAAAGGAAAATGTTGCAATTTCTAGAGAATTAGAAAAATATTACTTCCCACATTAGTAGATCAAGTTTTTCCTAAAGAAATATCGAAAGTGTTGGTGACTTATGAAGTTGATTTAGAAATAATGTTAAATAGTTCTAAGTGAGGTAATTAATTACTTAAAGGATAGAGTTATTTTGTGAATTAAATCCTCATGAAAGAAGATTATAAAAAAAATTTTAAGATAAGGGAGTGGCCCCTTATAACGATTAAAATATTTTCTACAGGTAGAGAATGCTCTCCTGAAATTAAAAGGACAAGAAGAAGCTCATTTCTCAAGGAAACATACTAAGACCTTCCAATAATGAGGTTGGACACGAAGATGAGGTCCTCGATTACATTCGTCTTCCAAATTTGCATCCTGATAGACGTAAAATGGAGTTATAGAGCTCAAGAAGTAAACGAATTCGAGAAAGGTGTCATTTTCATTCACAAAGTCATGACATGATGACATCTAGTCATTGGACATTGATCCATGATTTCGATTTCGATCATTTTGATCAACAAGTAGAGTTTTTAACACAATCTCTTGAATCTTTAAGAACCATGATAGTAAACAGAGAACGAGTATCAACTGGAAAAAGAAAGGATCAAGCAAGACGGATCTTACCTACAAATGGATACGAAATACTTATATCATCTTTCTCGGAATACAGAAGAAACTATTATAATTTAAAGGGATTAGTTACACTTGATAAAGAAAGTAGAAAGAGAAGAGGATTAATCGACGTAGGAGGAAAAGCATTGAAGTTTTTATTCGGAACAGCTACATCCGAAGATATCGAAGTTTTAAATGGAGAAATCACAAATATAAAACGTATTAATAAAGGTATAATTCATTTAGTACAGTCACAAGCGACTCTTCTAAACGATACTTTGAGAATAAGTAAGAACAACAGACAGAAAATAAATAATTTGTCAAGAAGACAAGATTCCTTCGAGAACTTACTAAAAATATATCGATATGATTTAGCATTTGAAACTATCATGAGAAATATAGAATTTGCGATGCAAGAATTTCATACACAAATAATTGAATTAAGAGAAGCTATTGACGTTTTAGAGCAAGGAAAATTAAGCTCGTATTTTATCTCAAAGGAAGTGATGTATCGTACGTTACGAGAAATACAACCACAACTTCCGGAAGGTTATTCATTGATAGAGCAAGTCAAAGCTGACACTCTCTTTAAATTTTACCAGTGGATTACTACAGTTGCTATCGCACTTCCAGGAAAATTAAGAATTTTCGCAAAAATGCCATTGAAAACGCCTAGTGGATATTTTGATGCTTACGAAATTTTGGGATTACCTACATATATTCCTGCATTGAAAGCTTATGCATATTTTAAGACTGAATATCCCATTTTATCATTGTCAATGGATCGTCAATCGTACATGTTGTTACGTCATCACGAATTGGCTATTTGCCAAATATCACAGTTTGCTGTTTGTTCACCGAACGTTCCGATATTTCGAGCTCCACATCAGAGCTGCGAATATTCTTTATACATCGGAAATGATCAGAAGGTAACAGAACTTTGTTCCAAAGAAGTTATAAAGGAATTTTATCCAATTTTTAGAAGAATAGACAAGCAAGGAACATGGGTATTTTCTACACCCTCTACATTAGTATTAGTAGTAAAATGTTCTGCTAAACAAAATAACTTGCATTCATTACCTTCCAATATAAGTAAATTGAATAATGTTGGAATCATAAGATTGCCAAATACATGTATAGGATACTTACCTGGAATTATCCTCACTTCACATTTTCACATCAGATCAACTGTTCACACTAGAAGTAGTCCTAGGTTTATTATACCTCCAATTGAAACAATGTTTTCCAAAATGGAGTTAGAGAAATTGCAAGAGAGTATAATTACTACAGAAAATCCTAAGAAGAATAAAGAGAATTCTAAGAAACAAACAGATGATGACATTAAGGTAGCAGAAAAATCATACGAGCAAATGAAGAAAGATTTGGATAGATTATTGAAAGAAAATGAAGATCTTTCAATATCAAACACTCCAACAATTCCAATCACCTACATATGGATTATCCTTGGAAGTATAGGAGTATTAATTCTACTTATCTGCGCATATTATATAGTCAAGCATATGTGTTGGAAACGAAGATTTGAGAAGAGGATCAAGGAACTGTCACAACAGGACATTCCACTTCAAGAAATTCCTCCGAGAAATAATACAGAAGAAGAGGAACCGGAAATAGTCGAACCTGTTGGAAGCTCAACTGAACAAGCTTCAAGCTCAACACAGACAAGGAAGCACCTTGTTCGCACACCTCGATTTTAATCCCTACTTGATTTTCTTTGAATGATTATGTCATTGGATTGAACTTTTATTTGATTTATTGATAGTCAATTTTTGTTATATATATCTTTAGTTTGTAAGTCCCTTTCCTAATAATAACAAAAAGCTTATTTAAGGGAATGTACACCCCACTCAAATTGATAAACTAAAGTGATTGACTAGAATAGACATAATATTGTATAGAATAGTCTAGATATAAGACTTAGTGTAGTATTAAGAGAGAGAGAGACATTAATAGGGATATGTATTTGTTAACATACTACCTTTAAAATGAACAATACTTTGGTGAAATTGAACTTCGCTCAAATTGGATTTCAATGACCCTGGAGTCATAAAATACTTAGTGAACTCAACCACCTGAACTTTTGTGGTTATTTGAAATGAAGTTTTAGCAGAAAAAGAAGTGTATCAACATACGAGAAGAAGACACATTATATCATTTTGAACTGCACAGTGAACTTTGAACTGTTAGCAGGTGCTTTTTGAAACAAGAAGACATCACATGATCTTCTAATATACTTGAATTTGTGCAACTATAAGAAGTCAGCCAACAGAGGTGCTGCCATAGAGACTCTCAGCAACAGAGAGGTACATTCGAAACCAGTGACAAAACTATGTCCACTTTTACCGTCGATTCCAGACGAAGACACCTGTGTTCATTATGTTTATTTTAGTAATATTATTAATCTGATGAATTGTTTATCATAGTATTTCCATGTATTTCAATTTTGAATTTAATTTGAATTATTGTATACTTTTATGAATTTATTAATATGTAAAACGCAATTTTTAGAGAGAGAGAGAACAATTCGAACTTATGTATTGCAGTGAAAAATCACGCCTTCTTTAAATGTAGTGTGATTTTTGAAGATAAGGGAGTAATGTGAGATCCGAAAGGCCCTTGGNGATTTCAAAGGAGGATCAAGGAACTGTCACAACAGGACATTCCACTTCAAGAAATTCCTCAAAGAAATAATGCAGAAGAAGAAGAAACGGAAATAGTCGAACCTGTTGGAAGCTCAACTGAACAAGCTTCAAGCTCAACACAGACAAAGAAGCCCTTTGTTCGAACATATCGACTTTAGTTCGACTGTATCGACTTTAATTCAAAATTGCTTTTTAAGATGATCATTTCATTCTTGATTGAAAATTTTTTGATTATATAATGATCGATTTTAGTTACATATATCTTTAGTTTGTAAGTATTTTTCCTAATAATAACAAAAAGCTTATTTAAAAAAATGTACATCCCACTCAAATTGATAAACTAAAGTGATTGAATTAGAATAGAGACAATATTGATTAGAATAGACATAATATTGTATAGAATAGTCTAGATTGTAAGACTTAGTGTAGTATATATATAGAGAGAGACATTAATAGAGATATGTATTTGTTAAACATACTACCTTTAAAATGAACAATACTTTGGTGAAAAGAAACTTTGCCTCAAAATAGATTTAAAAGACCTTGGAGTCATAAAACATTTAATGAACTCAACCACCTGAACTTTTGTGGTTATTTGAAATGAAGTTTTAGCAGAAAAAGAAGTGTGTCAACATACAGGAAGAAGACACATTATATCATTTTGAACTGCACAGTGAACTTTGAACTGTTAGCAGGTGCTTTTTGAAACAAGAAGACATCACATGATCTTCTAATATACCTGAATTTGTGCAACTATAAGAAGTCAGCCAACAGAGGTGCTGCCATAGAGACTCTCAGCAACAGAGAGGTGCATTCGAAACCGGTGACAGAACTATGTCCACTTTTACCGTCAATTCCAGACGAAGACACCTGTGTTCATTGTGTTTATTTTAGTAATATTATTAATCTGATGAATTGTTTATTATATTATTTCCATGTATTTCAATTTTGAATTTAATTTGAATTATTGTATACTTTTATGAATTTATTATTATGTATAACGCAATTTTTAGAGAGAGAGAGAGCAATTCGAACTTATGTATTGCAGTGAAAAATCACGCCTTCTTTAAATGTAGTGTGATTTTTGAAGATAAGGGAGTAATGTGAGATCCGAAAGGCCCTGGGTCTAATTTGTGAATTTTTATTTAAATATGTTTAAATATAGACACGAAATATTACTTCGTTTTGGAAAAAAATATTGTTTTAGACGTGGGAAAAACCAGATAACAAATGTTATTTCCTTTCATCGAAGAGAACATCCTCTGTTTTTCCGTATCTGGTTAAAAATCTCGCTCAGATGGGAAATGGTTACCCCTCGTTCATCCCCCTTTCGTCCGTTCTCACGAAAGAGTTACTGGACGATGATTGGACGAAATTTTGAAATAAAAGGGGAGATTAGTCAGAATTCGCGGAGTTCTTCGACAGATCCGAGCATCTAAACTCCACGCAGTTTTCCTCCTGATGGCCAACGCCCATAACGGAGTCCGATAGACGAAGTCCCGAGTCTACACTTAGAAGAAGTGATATCTTTATATTTTGTGCATGAATTGATCTCCCGTATGAAAGTAATAGGAACCCCATCTACAAGGTGTCCTTTACCTATACAGATGAAGACGAACGACAACAACTAAACAGGTCGTATGTCTAGAATAATTTTGTGAGCTCTCTCTCTCGAACGCGCATAAACCTAGAAGAGGTTTTAACCTCTAGCTTGTCGTTTAATTGTGGTTATCGATTATTTGTATTCGTTTGTTTAGTTTTATTAAATTATACTTATGTTTATTACACAAAATGTCTCTTAATTGGGTGTCCGAATCAGATCGCATACGCGTGTTTGTCCGCGCATCGATAAATTGACAAACTGGTGTCGGGAACCTGACAGGAACGTCTGAACTTCGCAGTTCGGATCAACTAGCGTTTATCGCTCTCCTATGAAATATTTAAGATCAGATCTAGTGATCTGCATCCTAGAGGACTGGTCTTACCAACTAGTGCCTGTAAGTGGCATAGATTGAGCTCTGCGTCCTTGGCTACTTTCACACTTCTTTCTTTTCGATCCTCCTACTCTGGCTGCTTGTGCTTCTCCGTTCTCTCTTTTTTCTGATTCCTGTAAGAAAAAATATCATTGTGACAAAATTAGAATTTTTGTATTAATTTTAATGTTTTATTTTGTTAAATAATTATACTTAAATACAAATATATTTTTAAAACTTTCTATAAATTAATCTCTTTAACGACGATTGAGTTCTCCATTGAATTTTGTAAAATTGATTATGCCATTTCCAAAAGAATGTTTATTTTACATAATTATCGAAATATTGTTCACAAATTTTATCAATATTATAACTTTCTCGTCTTTTTCTGTTGTAATAAAATGTCTTGTGGATGTAAACAAATTATAATAAAATGAAGCAATAATTTAATTTTATTTTATTAATATTAGAACGATTTAGTGAATAGAAGAAAATTACGAATAATCTGTTTCAGCTCACTATTAGTATTATAACTAGAAAAACATTAAAAAATTTTTTGAAATAAAATACTGTATAAAACTTTAATAATTCTTACTGTTTATTCAAAGATAAAAAACATTATGACTTTTTAAAGTACATAATTTTTTTTAGTTATATTCTTTTTGCAATTGATGAAATTGGGTTTTTCTGCAAGAGCACATTTGGTATATTTTACTTTTCGAAATAGATATTTTTCTTGTTCACTCACGAAGAGTCTAGGAAATGTAACAAATATCATTTTGTATGTTCTGTGTAGTCACGTACACACATAGTTTTCTGGTATACGGCTATAAAAATGTGCCTTATTTGTTACCAAGTAATAATAATCGGAAATTTCAGCAGTTAGTATTACTACCAATATATTTTACGGATTTCTTGCCCTGTTCATATCTGTTGTTCTTACGTTATTGCATTCTCTACTATCGTTATTGCAAAGTTCGGCTCCGATATTTTTTCAATTTCGTTGCTTAAGCTTCTAACCTTACATTTGCCTTTGCTCGCTTTTCCTCAACATCTTTTTCTTCTTGTTATAAAAATACTGATCACTTCTATATTACACAGTTTTTACAATGAAGAATTAGGGATAGTCACATCGAGATTTGTGAATGACAGGATTTGTCGATGACGGCTGTTCACTGTCAATACTGTTTCTAAAATATATTCCTTGAATCTTTGCAATTTCCAATGATGTTGATCTAATAATTCAATTATTAGTTGAAGCTAATCTTCGGGGCAACCATCTGCTACAGCCTTATTAAGAAGAGATGTTGTCTTCAATCTAACATTTACGGTGAACCAAGCATGGTTTTATCAGTGCTATTTAACGCCTCGATAATATATTCTGTTCCTCATGAACTGCACAATTCGTTATATGTTGGTTCAGTGCTGAGTTTTGTAATTTTCTAAAGAAATATTACTCGACAAGACTTCACTATTTATCAAATTTGTTGTATTCGAAGGGCGATTGTGTGTAGTGTTCAATAAATTTCATTAGTTCATTACTTACGATTTATCATATTTACCGACATGAACTGACACAAAGGTAAATTATATTTACCGCTAATTATGTAATTTACACTCATTTAATTAAGTTTCTTTCGTTTGCAATATTGTACGAGAGACTAACTATGGCTTGTTGTTAGGGAATTTACTATATGATTTTTCTGCTGTCAAGGCGTGAATAAAGTTCATATAAATCGTATGCGATTAAGCCACTATGTCAGCTAAATAAAACACTTGATTCGAAGAAAATCAACAAGTCATTAATTACAGAAATCAGGTTACAAGAAATTCATACATCATTTAACAGTTAATTGTCATCTGTTAAATTTAAATCATAAACCAAAATGTTCAATTCTATTTAATTAAAACACGAATTCTTAAATACACAATGTGATGTATTGGCTTGTAAACAAAAAGGAAACAAAGGAAGCGCCGACCTCGCTAGTTTGATTCAAGGGCGGTTGAGTCGTAAACAACATGCCAACTGGTAGTAAACGAGTGAATGACCACCCTCAACCGATCCAAGCATATATGAGTGAAAGCTCTTTGCAATGAAAATCTGTAATTGGTCTGAATTCTTGCCCAAAAAGTCTTTAAATTAGAAAGCGAGCGAGAGAAATAGAAAAAAAAAAACTTTGGACTGATAACACAGAAATCTCAGACACTTGGAAAGTTCATTCAGGTTAGACAGAGAGAGCGAGCAAACTCCTCTGCAGGATATCGCGGGATAGGTAAGTGCTGAAATCGGACGTACCGCGCAGTAGTGCCAATTCACAGGCTGGCAGAGGCTTCTCGAAAACGTAATCGTTCTCGAAAACGTAATCGTTCTCGAAAGCCAAACTAGTACGTGAAGCACCACGCTTTGAGTATCCTGTGTTTTCTGTGTTTACCAACTGGTATAATTTATATAAATTTTCCAAATAAACTGTATATACTGTCTGTCTTGATTGTGGAGGTGAGCTTTCACCGAAACTACATCAGAACAATCTCGAGTCCTGCTTAATTTGCAAACCAACTTCAAAAGATGGAGTTTAGGGAGAAAACTTAACTCAATTAAATCGTGGATTCTTATAAGTACAATTTATTTTTAAACAATGAATAAAATACGTACCGTTGACGTGCAAGGAATGTCTTCAATATGGCACCGCTTATGTTCTAACCATTTCTCATTCGATCGAGTGCTGAACGAACATAAATGACATTGAAATACTATTACCGACAATCTAGGATTATCGTCTTTGTGGTCTGCTTTACATTGTTCATCATCCTTGTTTTCGTTATTTGTATTTCCTGGTGCAGACAATGTTTTATTAAAAGATGTCTTCAAAAAATTTTGTTCTTTGCCCTGTTGTTGAGATTGCTTGAAAAAAAATTATCAACCATGAGTAAACCAGCAAAACATGTATTAAATTGTTCTTATCCGAAAAGGTTTTTCCGCACAAATCGCATTTAAACGGCCTTTCGCCCGTGTGAGTTCGGATGTGTCTTTCCAAATCGCTATTACTAAAAAACTTCTTGACGCATTTCGGGCATTGATGTTTTCGGTCCTTTTAAAATAATTCGTTTAATAACAATAAATAATTCGTGAAAAAGTTAAATTAAAATTATTCACGATAGTATTAATTATTGTTATATATTAAAATAATATGTTAAAAATGTTAATAATATTTACACTATCTTCGATATAAGATTGAAATTGATTTCGTGAAATTTTAATAAAACAGTTTGAGAAATTCAAAATGAATTATACAAATGAAATGAAAGATTTCACTTACCATTTATGATTTTACTTAATTTAATTATGAAATTTAGTTTCTTAATTTCAAGTCGGAATTTTGTTGAAACAGAAAACAACAATGCACCGAAATAATGTAATTTCTTGATTATTATGTTTTGATTATATTAAGCTTGCACAATTGCACATGTCCTTTAACCTAAAACTAATTGAAGATACAAAACAATATATATATAATGTCTTCTGTATTTGAGAAACACATGTGAGGAAACAAATAGAGTAACGCTATTTCTGTTTCTTGTTTAACTTATATTTAAATTATTACTTTACACTTTCTGCACTATAAACAATGACAGTAAAAACACGGTTTGATAATACTCAGTAGGATCAGTAGTGATAATTAATTATGCGGGTATATATACTCAAAAATTTAAGGGTTTCCCATTCGCGTAAACTTGAACACTTTTATTGAGTATTATCAAATTGTGCTTTTACTGTTGTTGCTTATAGTGCAGATATAGTAAAATAGTAATAATTTAAATATAAGTTAAACAAGAAACAGAAATAGCGTTACTCTATTTGTTTCCTCACATGCGTTTCCCCAATAGAGAAGACATAATATATGTCGTTTTGTTTCTAATTATTTTTAGATTCAGCGACATGCGCCATTGAATATGCTTAATATAATCAAACATAACAATAAAGAAATTACATTATTTCGGTGCATTATTGTTTTCTGGTGTAACAAAATTTTGACTTGAAATTAAGAAACTGATAATTAAGATAATTAAATTAAGAAATTAAGACAATTAAATTAAGTAAAATCATAAATGGTAAGTGAAAACTTTCATTTCATCTGTATAATTCATTTTCAATTTCTCAATTATTCTGTGAACTTTTAATAAAAATTCACAGAATAACAAACTATAAATTCCAACCTTATATCAAATAGAGTGTAATATTATGAACATTTTCAACATATTATTATAATATATAACAATAATTAATACTATCGTGAATAATTTTAATTTAACTTTTACACTGATTATTTATTGTTATTAAACGAATTATTTTAAAAGGACCGAAAACATCAATGCCCGACATGCGGCAAGAAATCTCTTCATAAACAGCATTTGGAAAGGCACATTCGAACTCATACGGGCGAAAGGCCGTTTAAATGCAATTTATGCGATAAAACCTTTTCGGATAAGAGCAATTTGGTACATCATATGAAAGTGCACTCCGATGAAAAGCCGTTCAAGTGCGATTACAATGGCTGTGAAGAAAGCTTTAAACGAAAATCCGAGTTGGAACAACACACATACAGATGGCATGCCGATGAGATTTTATCTAAGGTAAACATTACCACTAGTTCCTATATTTTCATTTTCGTTTATATTTTTCAATTATCAAAGCGAAAAAAGTTACAAAATAAACAGACACAATATAATTGTACAGGATAATATAAAGCATTCAATTAATAATCCAAACAACACGCGATGCAACTGTGTGAATTTACACAAACAAATATTAAAATAATAATATTAATAAACAACTGTAAATATCATTATTGTTCTTCTGGCGCGTGTAAATTTACCTTGTTTTCGATCGTTCAAACATTTTAAATTAATTACGTTTTTATGTATTTTTGTGCAAATCCGTTCTCTGTATTTAACCTTTGCCAATTAATTACTCATAAACATAAAATAGGATAGACGTTATCAATACTAAATTCATCAGTGTAATTAATAATCTATGATAAATGTAAATAATATAAAATTTTAATTACAACAATGTTTAATTATTAAGCGAATCATTTTTCACAATTATTACTTTTATAACTGATATTCCTATTTGATTCGTTTTTTGAAACCGTGTTTTCGTATTTATTTACTATTCATATTCCTATTGATAAAAACAAGATACATCTTGATATTGTTATTTTCTAATTTAGTATTTGCATTTTATAAAGCAGAAACTGAGAAAAGCTTTTTTTATTGTTCATCGTATTATTAACTCAGCGTTAAAATTATAAATTATGTTATAATCTTTATAAGATTAAATTCAGATTACACTTGAAAAAATATCCAAAAGCAGTTGTTCGGCTGTGCCTAATTGCTATTGTCAATAATAAGATCTAAGAAACTTACTGTGCAGTACCTCGTTACTTCTATTTTTATAAAATTATTTTATATACACATAGTTTAGTAAAACTTGAACAAAACCTTTCACATTTAATTACATCTCATCACAATAAAGTTTATTATGGAAAGCAAAGTTTATAAAGTTTTTCATAAATAATTAAGATGAACTATTTGCACTGAAAAAGTAATGAATTGAGTTGTTATATATTGTGAATAATTTACTAAAAATTTATTGAATAATTAGATTTCACCAAACGACCGGAAGATAATTGACCGTAAATGTAACGTCTGTCAAATAGTTTGTTCATCTCCCGCAGCTTTAAGGGCTCACTTGAGAACTCACACTGGAGAGCGGCCATTTTCGTGCAATTTTTGCAACGGCACTTTCACTATCAAAAGTAGTTTAAACAGACACATCAGAAGGTTTCATCCGAGAGAGGAAACTCCATCTTGCTCCAAAGTAAGTGTATAAATATGTTAATGACTAAACTTTTAACACACAATCGTATGTTAGAGTGAAAACATTATAACAATAACTTCACTTATTTAACGAGCGCACATTGTTTCAATATTTATTTATCGCATATATTTTAAACACGTATATTTGTTCCATTCGATTTTTCGAGTAAATAAGTTATATCGTAATTAACAAGGTATCATTTCTATTAAAAATATGCAACGATTGTGAATTCTTCGTCTAAAAACAGCGATTAATAGGTGCAAATTAAAATTTTTCCTAAGAGGTTTGGGTCATTCGATATCGTAACGTTTCTGTGTAATTTTAAGTATTCAAAGTCAGATATTATAATTAATTCTATACATTTCAAATTATTAAATTCAATATTACTTCAGATATTTGATACTTTTATTGATAATACTTTATTTGTACTCGTTGCGACTGAATGAGTATTAATTAATGCTGATCGAATTGTTTTCTTGTTTTTATTCAATAATTATGCAGGTATATATTTGCATTTGTATTTAAGTGTGTTCAAGTGTAGAAAAATTTACATTGTGTTACAAAAGTCGCTGTTTTGTGGATTTATGCAAACATTTACCGAATAATTAAAAAACGATGAGTTTGTTGTTTTCACATTAATCAACAATGGGTTTATCCTTTCTTCGTATTCACATTGATTTATTTTACGCCGATTATCGACTTGAGGTCGAACATTGTAATATGCGTATATTTTTATTTCAATGTTTTTTTTTTGAAACAGCAGACCATTTGACAAAACTCGTTGTTAAGATATTCGTCTCCACTGTGAACTACCTCATCTCAAATATTCTGATGCCTTTCCAATAATAATGAATTCGAGTGTTGTAAAAATGTGATGCTGTTTTAATTTCAGGACATATTTCATTTCAAATAACAACGCAGCATACAAATTTCAATTTAGATATTTGAAACAAGAGCGATTTATCTTCGTTATGATATCGTCATCTCTGTGTTAGCGTGTGTGTCTTCATTCAAAATAGCGTCAGTTAGTACTTTCTCGAACTACACTTTTATTTGTGTTAAAACATTCACTTGTAAACATATTTCCTATAAATTCAAACTTATGGGACACTGTACATATACAACTCGTTGTTAACACATAAAATTCATATGTTTAGTTACATTAGGTCAACGTGCCCGCACGCCTTACAAATTACACTGTTCGACATGATTTTTGGCACACGGAAGAAAGAAATTGTGTCTAATAGGACAAAAAGTCCTATTAGACACTTTTGTATTCACAAACCTGAGATTTCAATTGTTCTATCACTTTCTGATTATCCGTAATCATAGATTTAAATTTTGGCTCCATGTATGGATGGCATCCACAGAAACTTTTCTGCCCCTCTAGCAGGGCAAAAGGGACAAAAATGGAATTTGTTTAACAAATTTGTTTTACCCAAATAACAGAATAAAAATCACACAACGTGACTCATCACCAACAAGCACTACTTTACAGAATTATTGGGATTTGCATTTAGTGAAGATCAATTTCTTTTGTGTTGTGATTTTTAGCTGTACGTATTTTGTTACCTTTCGAAGAAAATATGTAAATGATATTAATATGTTCTGTTGTGTATTTGGAAAATTAACACTTTTACCTTAACGACAAAAGTTGACTCGGCTTGTTAATTAATAAATGTTATGAACTATATTTTGATTGTAAATTGGGCGATCAGAATAAAAATTGGACTCCACATATCATATGTTCAATTTGTGTAAAACGTCTGACAGAGTGGGCTAAAGGCTGTTCTCGACATTTGAGCTTTGCAGTACCCATGGTTTCGTTTGAACACTAAATCATGTTAGCACTGTTATTTTTGTTTGACCACCATAAAAGGAATAACTCGTAAATCTTCTTCTTGTTCTTTTTAGTTTATATGCAGATTTTAGCCTGTTGGCCTTTTCTCCGATGTACGTCGCTTACGATTATGCGAAACAGAATATTTTGTCATCAGAGGGAGATTGCCTACTTGGATCTCATCGCTTCTTTGAACTCGTACATTCCAAGTCCGCTGGCGGAGTGCTCTACATTGTCTCACACTTTTTCGCATGGTGTTTCGCAGGGAAGCGTTTTCGCCCCTGTCCTTTTTACTTTTTATATGGCAGACTTATGGACAGCACTCCCAGCCAATGTAGCGGCAATTCTCTATGCTGATGATCTTTCTCTTATAACTACCAGCACTAGCCATACCCAAGCAGCTCGCCGTATCCAGACTGCTTTTCACCACCTCGAACACTGAGCTACTACCTGGAGTCTATCATTCTCAGCCGCCAAAAGTGCTACTATAGACTTCTCTCTGAAAATCCACTGTCCTCCTATAGCAGTGTCTCTAAGCTCGGGATACATTTCCCAGCGTTCGTCATTATGTATCTTAGGCATTTATTTTTCACAGACCTTTACGTGGCGAGTTCATAAAACCTTCCTGCGATCGAAACTGATCCGAGCAAGCTC